CGGCACATGGTAGGTGCGGCGCTCTGGCTGGCGGGAGGTGGCCGCCCCAGCGCTGGCCGCCGCTCGCCGCCCCACCTTGTTTTTCTCGAAGAGCGCGGCCTGGCTGGCCCGCAGGTCGCAGTCCAGCGCGCTGGCTGTCTGCCGCCGCCGCCGGGCCAGCGCCTCCTCCAGGTCCCCGACCTGCGCCCGCAGCTTCTTGTTCTCCCGCTCCAGGCCCAGCTTCTCCGTCTCCAGCCGCTCGCGGCGGCCCCACTCGGCCGCGTTCTCCGCCTGCAGCCGCTCCATCTGCCGTGGGAGGGCGCAGTGAGGACGGGGCAGGGGCACGGCCCGTGGAAGCCCCGCCACCGCCTGCAGCCACCGCCTGCAGCCACCGCCTGCAGCCACCGCCTGCAGCCGTTCTGGCTCCAGGAAGCAGACCCAGCTGCAGCAGCTATAATTACGCCGGGCTCGCTTCTCGGTGCTCAGGATGTGAGGGCGCTTCTGGTCGCTGCGAGGCGGAGAGGACCCCCCCTGCAGACTGGGGACCCTCCTGCAGACTGGGGACCCCCTTGTGGACTGGGGACCCCCCTTGTAGACTGGGGACCCCCCTGCAGACTGGGGACCCCCCTTGCAGACTGGGGACCCCCTTGTGGACTGGACCCCCTGAGACTGGGACCCCCTGCAGACTGGGGACCCTTGCGGACTGGGACCCCCTATTGCAGACTGGACCCCTGCAGACAGGCACCTTGGACGAGGCTGGCCTCAGAGCAAGCATGGCTCATGCCCTTCTCCGGTTTGCCCTGCTCATGGCAGGCGGCCGGACGCCCTCCCGGCCCGGGCCGGCCCACCTCGGCCCTCAGCTCGGCCATCTTCTTCCATCTGAGAGCGCCGCCAGCTCGTCCTCCAGTCTTCCGACTGCGGCCCAGCCGTCCTGGTGCGTCTCCTTCAGGATGCCGAGCTTGCAGGACGCGGCTGGTCACCGTGGGACCCGCGGTGGCGGGGGCGCACGGGCAGCGCCCACATGGGGTGGCATAGGTCAGAATGACCCGAACCTGCCCTCCCCCCTTCCATCACTCTTGCCTCCGTCACCACCCTGGCCCGCAGTGCCTGCTCCCGGTCCCCCCCCCACATCTCCAACAGTAAGCCCTTCAGTGGCTTCTAGAAAAGAAAATTTCCAACATACACACGGCCTCCAAAGCCCTTATCTGATGGCTCCAGGTGCCTCAGGATAAAGGCCCAACTCCTCTCTGGGGTCTCAACCCCGCACATTGGATGCCCCTCCTAAACCCATCTCCACTCTCCCGACTTCACTGTGCTTCACTCAGCGGCTGACTCCATTCCTCAAATACACCAAGTCCTGACCACACAGGCTTTGCACATGCAGTTCCGCTCAGTTCCCTTGCCCGAACATTCTTTTTTTTTATTGAGATAGGGGTCTCACTCTGTCACCTAGGCAATAGTACAGTGCATCCTCATAGCTCACTGCAGCCTCAAACTCCTGGCTCAAGTGGTCCCTGCCAAGCCTCCAGAGTAGCTGGGACTATAGGTGCACACCACCATGCCGGCTAATTTTCTATTTTTTTTTTTATGGATGGGGTCTCCTGCGTCGCCTAGGCTCGTCTCAACTCCTGGCCTCAAGTGATTCTCCTGCCTCAGCCTCCCAGAGCGCCGGGATTACAGGCGTGAGCCACCGCAGTACCCGGCTCCGGAACACTTTCCGAGGTGTCCCGCGGGACTGACTTTTCTTATCGTCAGGCCCTAGGGCGGCCTCTCCCGTCCTGGCCTAGAGGCGGCGTCTCCTCGGCCACCCCCGGTTGGAAGGCAGGCTTGGGGGGCCGGGGGCCTGTCGCCTGTCCACCTGTCTCCTGCGTGGCCTCGGCACAGGGCGGCCCTCAACACGGTGGACATAAGCTGGCCTGCCCGCAGGGGTGTCAGAACTCTCGGGTGCCTCTAAAATGGCACTGCCCACGCGCCCGCGCGCCGAGTCTGCCGCACACGGTGCTGCGGGAAAGCTGCCAGACACGACAGAGAACGGGACGATTCTGCCGCGCTGCACGCCTGCGGTTTCGTCCAACGATCACACTTCTCTGCAATGGATTACACTCCGCAAATTGAAAAGGTCACGCAAGACAGGTTCCTGGGCCCAGTCCCCGGAGATGCGGACTCCGAAGCGTGGGGGTGGGCCTGGGAATCCGTGTTTTAGGGCCTTTCCCAAGAGGGTCTGACATAAGCCCATCTCCGTCCCTTCCCGGACAGAGTGGCGGGCTCTGAGTGAGGTCCCGATCTCCCGCCTTCTGGAAACCGGCGGATCCAGCCCGGCTTTCCCTGGGCGGCTGCGCCCCCTGGTGGCCCCTGCGGCCCGCACAGGCGGCAGCCTGCAGCCCCGCCCGCCCTGACCCCCACACTGCAGTGGCGGGCTCCCCTCTCTGGAGCCTCAGTGTCCTCATCTGTAAGATGGGGACTGCCTCGACTGCCATGGGGCGTTAGTGACGCCCGGGACACGCCAGGCACCCCACGAATGCCACATCCAGATCCTCCCCTTCATCCTGGTCCGCAGGGCCCTCTCTCGGCCTCACCTCCTGCTGCTGTCCAGCTGCAGGGGCCTGCTCTGTCTCCCCCCCCCACGGGCTTGCTGCTGCCTCAGGACCTTTGCACTTGCTGTGCCTTCTGCCAGAACCCTGTCCCAGGATCTTCTCGGGGATGCTTCTGCTAGCCCCTTTCGGCTTTGCCTGGAATGTCACCTTCTGAGAGAGGCCTTCCCTGACCCACCGCCCCATTTCTCTCATCCTGTTTTGACGCCTTCGTGACTCATGAATTTATCTGCCTGGTCACAGTCGGTCTTCTCTGCCCATGGCCCCCACAAGGTGGACTCCTCAAGGCAGGGGCCTGGCCTGCCTAGTGCTCAGGACAATTGCTGAATGAATGAATGGATGAATGAATGAACGAATTCCATTTTTCTCTCTCCCATCCCCACTGCTGAAACTCAACAGTGTGATACTGCTGCCGCCTCCAGGAAGCCCTCTGGGTCTCCGAGACTCACCTGCTTGAGCATCTCCTGCTTGGTCTTGCTCAGCTCCTCGTACTTGATCTTCCACTGGCTGAGCTCTCCCTCCAGCTTCTCGATGTTCCTGCTCAGGGCCAGTTTATCCCTGGGAAGGGGACAGGGAGGGACAGACATGGGGGTGAGCCTGCAGGGGCCGTCTGCTTGGAGTCCTCACCACGAGTGGCCCTGCTGTGCTCTCTGCACCCGTCGAGCTCACGTCTAAAGTCCCTACCTCGGCGTTCAGGGCCCGGCACCCCACGTTGCGGCAAGCACCCCGGGTTTGCGGTTCTCCTGGAGCTGCACCCCCACCCACGTGCAGGGACCGAGCTCACAGTGGCGGGAGGTGATCGGGGCTCCGGAGCACTGGGCACCTCCGGGCAAGGGCCTCCCTCCCGCCGGACCCAGGCTCATCTGCCAGAGGCCACCCTGTTCCCGCCCTGTGGCTCCCTGCACGGCCTGGACACCTGGTCCTGCAGTTAGAAAAGCTGGAAAACACTGTGCGGTGACTCTCGGAGGGCGGGTCCCCTCTTGCCATCATCCCTGTGTGGGATCCCCACGTTCTCCCGGGACCACCCTGCACTCTGCCTTGAACGTGAACGTGGCACCACAGGTAACAAGCATGGTGACTGGCCCCCCGCATACAGTAGGTGCTCAATGATGGCTGAGCTTAGCGTCACCCTCCAGCACGCTGTGCTTCATGACCCCACGCTGCCAGCGAGGGGCTCTCAGAGGGGACAATGCCATGCTCTAGGAGGTACGTTGGAAATTCCTGGGGACGTTTTTAGCCATCACGACGATTAGGGACCAGCTGTGCCGGACTCCCTGCCATGCCCACGGCGTCCCCCGTCAGGGACCTATCCGGCACCCTACTAATGCACGCCTGTCCCCCTGGACATTGCTGGGTGGAAATGATCTGAGCCCAGAACCTCATTCTGATTCACACAGAAACGGAAAGTACTTGTTCCACTAACATACACTGCGTTTTCCAGGAACGGAATAAACTGGGGGAAGGCCACACTTTTCTTTGTTCAGAACTTTACCGAAGGCCGCTCATCTCTCAGGAAACCGCGTCACACAGTGACACTACTTTTGTGTTTGAGGTGCCAGCCCACACACCTGCACGAGCTGTCTTCACAGCTGTCCTCAGGGTGACTTAAACGAGCGAATACACGTGAGCCCTGGGCACAGCGCCTGACCCGGAGTGGGGCTGTGTCTGCAGTCACGGTCACAGTCCCTGCCACTCTGTACAAAGGCACCTGCTCCTCACCGCTGCATCGTTCCCCCTGGAGGAGCTATCCCCAAACGCTTCCGTGTCGCCGTGTGCACGTTTCATTATAAATCATTCCATTTCTGCTTTATATTTCAGTTATGCTTTAGGTTGATGTTTTTGTTTGTTTGGCTTAAACAGCAGAAACGTACTCCCTCCCAGTTAGGGAGGCTGGAAGTCCAGGATCAGGGAGTCAGCAGGGATGGTTCCCGCGGTGGGGTCTGTTCCAGGCCTCTCCCCTGGTTTCTGGCGGTGTGCTGGCCGGCGGTGGCGCTCCTTGGGCAAAGAAGCAACGATGCCCGGAGAAGCATCCCCCTGACCTCTGCGTGCATCTTCGCAAGGGCATGGTGTTGATTTTAAAAAAGAATCAACTATGTGTTGATTTAATTTAAATCAACAAAAATCATATGGGTAGATAGGTTATACTATCTATGTATTGAATTTCTGGACAGAAAAGTCGCAGAATGTTCATTATAACCAGGCTTGTGCCCTCTAAACTGTCCTGGTCAAGGTCACTGGTGGCCTCCCTGTTCTAAATCCAATGGTCAGTGCTCAGTCCTCTTCTTACTGACTAGCAGATCGCTTTGTCCTCTGTGAGACCCTGTCTCATGGTGTCCTGTCCCCGCACGGCACTGGCCCCTTCTCCCATCTCCTTTGCGCTCCCCTTCCTCTGACCGGCCTCTGAACCTGGCGCTCTGACCTCCCCCTCCACCCCTGCTCGCCTGCTCTCCTGCCCTGGCTCAGGCCTTCCAATGTCATCCACTCGCTGACTCCAGCCCGGAACTGTCTCATCACTCCAGACTCACTCCTGTCCCCGACTGCCTCCCTGCCACCTCCAACTGCACGCTTCCAAAACCGAACTCCCAGCTGCAACTCCCAGCTTCCCTGTGCCCCTTCCTTGCTTTCACCCCGCCCACGGCCGTCACCCCCACTAGAAGGCAAGCTCCAGGAAGGCAGGGGCTTCTGTCTCGTTTCTGGCTGTATCCTCGGGGCTGAGGACAGAGCGTGGCCCAGGGCAGGTGCTCACCATGTATTATTTGACTGAATAAACAAAAACTTGCCTTGGGTCCTTGGGTGGAACACCACGCTCTAAAGTTCCAAGGTTTGAGCCTAAACAGCACCTGCCACCTTGGAGAGTCTCACGCTCCGTGACACCGATTTTCACTCTGGGATGCCGAGGGCGCCCCAGCGTGGCCCGGCCCAGCCCCGGCCCCTGCCCGCGCGCCCAGACTCACTCTCGCTCCTTGAGCAGCACCTTCTGGGACTCATCCAGCCGCAGCCGCAGGGCGGTCAACTTGGAGGCCTCCTCCTCAGCCGCGGCTGTGTCCTCCCAGGGCAGCCGGCTGCGCTCCTGGCGGCCGGAGCTGCTCCTCGGGGCCCCGGCCCCGGCGCCGCGTGCCTCCCAGCAGCCCTCGGGCTCCTCCGGTCTGCTCTTCAGAAGGCTCTCCACCAGCTCCAGCTCCTGCGGGGACCAACGGGGAGGCTGGACCGGCGACCTTCCCGATGGCCTCTCCCAGGCCCTGGGGCTGGGATCAGCTTGCTGGGTAACCTTCCTCAAGTCAAACAAGGTCTCTGGGCCCCGGCTTCCTCTTCTGCTGCCTGCCTCTCCATCTCTGGAGAGGGAGGCCGCGCCCTGCTCTGGGCCTCCACTTTCACCTCCTGGAACTGCACAGAGGCAGCCATCGAGGTCCCCTGTATCCTGGAAGATTCCCGAGGAGAGGTGGTGAGCTCCCTGTCAGTGGAAGTATACAAAGGCATGACGGGACACTTGTGGGAATGTTGAAGCAGGGATTCCTACGATGGCTTGTGATTAGATTCCCTCAAAAGGAATTCTAACTCTGAGATCCTATTTTTCAAGGGCAAATACTAAGCACAGGGCCACTGGTGACATGGTAAAGCAGTGAGTAGAACTGGCTCCCAGGCAGCAAGCAGTGCGGGATTTATTAACCCGGCGCTGAGCCTGCTTCCTTCCTGCCAGCCTCACCTCCCATTCTGTCCCTGTGGCTGCCCCTGCCTGTCCCTGACACAAACCCAAACACAAAATGAGGACTATGGCCCTTGTTCTAGTTTCTCTAGTTTCCGGATGCCTCTGGGCCAGCCCCTTGCCAGTCTGGCCCTTGGTTTCCCTATATGGACCGAGGTGGTGCCTCGATAACGTTCCACCCTTCAGCTGTGGCTGATCTGGGTTATAATTTTACGCCTCCCCATAAATTCAAGTTGAACGACTGAATGGATTCAGCTGTTACTAATCGGGCTAACTCCAGGTAAGTTTTTGGATCCCTTTGCCGATCGAAGGGACGATTCCTTGCTTCTGCTGACTTCTCAGGTGTGGAGTGGAGGGACCACCAGAACCTGGGACTCTCTGCCCACACGCCCTTCCTGGGGTCTCGGGAAGGGAGGTGGCCTGCGGCACTGCAGGGGGCGGAGCCTGACCTGCAGGAGCAGTCCCTGACTGGCGGCCACCGCTCCTGCCCCGGCCGTCGGGCCCGCCCACCCCGCGACGCCAGCGCGCAGGCCCCGCCCCGCGGCGCACCTGTGCCCTGCGGCCGCTCCGCCGACGTCGCGCACCGGCTCCTGCTCGGGTCCGGCTCGGGTCGGCCCGTGCGCGTCTGCTCCGCGGTGCCGGGGCGCCCGCAGCCGCGCAGCTCGCGGCCCCGCGCCTCGCACTCGCCCTGCGCCTCCTGGCGCTCGCGCCGCGCGCCCGCCAGCTCCTTGGTGAGCGCGTCCAGGCGCTGGCGCAGCTGGCGCACCTCCTCGCGCGCGCGGTTGCGCTCGGCGCGCACCTTGCTCCACTTCTCGCGCCAGTTGGCCGTGCAGTCCGACCACCAGCGCATGGTCTTCTCCATCTGCGCCGCCCGCGCGCGCGCCTCCTCCAGCTCCCGCAGGCGCAGCTCCTCGCGGCTCTCCCAGTCGCCGTCGGCCAGCAGCGCGGGCGCGGGCGGCAGGGGCAGCGCGGGCGGCGGCCCCGGCGAGGGCGTGCCGCTGGGCGGCGTGGGCGGCAGCGAGTCGCCCGGGCCCATGCGCTCCGGCGACGGGCTGCCCAGGATGGTGAGGAGGCTGCCCTTGGACAGCTGCGGGGACTCGGCCAGCCGCGGGCTCGGGCCGTGGCTCATCGTGCGGCCGGGCGCGCCCCGGGCTCCAGCCGCGGCCGGGCTCAGGGAAGGCGTGCGGGGCGCGCGGCGGACGCGCCACCGCTGTGCATGACGGCGCCGCGACCCCCTTCTCTCCGGGCCGCCAGGCTGAGGACGCCTCTTCGGACCTGCAGGAGAACACAGTCGTGGTCACGCGGCCCGCGCCCTGGGGCCGTGAGATGAGGCGTGCGTGGCGCACAGGGGGAGCACGGGCGACGGCTGGCTGGGGAGCAAGAGCGGACCGGCCTCCTCGCGTCCTGCAGACGCCCGCCCGCTCCAGTCCCTCCCGCGGCCCCGCGGCCGCAGCGGCACATCTGACACGGTGACGTGCTACCCTCACCCTCACGGTCCCATCGCACACACTGAGTGGCGTTTACTACTGTCCCGCCTCCACACGGACCGACGTGGGAGCACCAGCCTGCTGCCAGGAGTCTCCTCCCTGCCTCTTCTTGAAGTGGGCCGACTCTTCCCCATCCTCCAAACTCAGCTGAGATACCGCGTCCTCCTAGAAGCCCTCCAGGATCGCCTCAGGCCAGGCCCATCACCCCAGGCCCCCCATCTGCGTCTCCACCACCACACTAACCAACCCTGCCGGGTCGTTTATCTGTGTCTGCTCCCGCCCCCTCCCAGGCTGTGCGCGTGCCGAGGGCAAGGGCTAGGTGCCCGCCAGCTTCATAGTCCAAGCGCATGATGACAATAACAGTGACATCTGCAGACGGCCAGCAACAGGCCAGGCACCGTGCCCAGGGTTTCATGGGAATGATCTCACTTATTCCTCTCTTACTCCAGGCGAGGGAAATTACTGTCGCCATTTACAGTATGAGCCCAAATCCTGCATATGCACGTGTGACAATGGTGAAATAAACTGGTCTCTTAGATGGTGGGGGTGCGGGTACAATATGGCGTTCCCTGCCCTTCTCTGCAGAACCGCCCCTCCCAGACGCCCTCACTCACTGCAAACATCTCCCCCCTCTCCTGTCCCACCTAAACCTCGCCAACGCCCAGCATGGGGCCTCTGCCATGCATGGGCCACCCTCCCTTTAAAATAAAGGAGATGCGTGTCCCTCTCTGTCCTCGGCATGCCCCACTCTCCCTCCAGTGTGGCCTCGTGCTGACCGCCAGCAGCAGCCCCTTGGGACATCGGGCCTTTCTCCCCCCATTAGGCTGAGGTCTGGTCCACAGATCACAGCTGCCTCGAAGACTCGACCTGCCCTTTCCTGACGACTCCCATTGAGGACGAGTGCATCAATACTGGCAGGCCCACCAACTCTCTCTGTCCCTTCTCCACCCCTTCCGATCTCTGACCCCCCTCCCTCTTGGCAGGTGACCTCATGTTCCGGTTTGCAGGGAAGAGGGAAGGTGTCCAAGCCGCCCCCCCCATTCCACCCCAGCGAGCAATGTCTTCGCCAGGCACCTCCTCTCCCCTGCCCTCTCTCCCCCCTTTCAAGGCACGTCCAGAGTGGTCCGCGCTTGCTGTCTCTCCTCGGACCACCTCCCTGGCCCGCTCTCATTGGGCCACCCATGCCAGGCTGGCTTCCAGCCCCTTTGTCATGATGTGCCCTCCCTAGCTCAGGACCTGCTATCACTACTACTTTGCATCACTCTCTTCCAGGATGCCATGCTCGGGGCTTCCCTCCTCCCCTCCTCCGGCTGCTCCGCTTCAGCCCCCCTGGTGGACTCCCCGGCTCATCCTTGCGTGCTCCTGTCATAGGGTCCTGGGCCCGTCACGCTTCCCCTGCCCCAGCCATCTCGCCAAGTGCTCAGCAACCCGAGTCTCTCTCTCCAGCCCAGGCTGCCCCCCAAAGCCTCCCACAGCCCCACCGGATGTCCCAGGGACACCTCGGCTCCATCTTGGCCAAAATGGAACTCACTGTCTCCATCTCCCCCAAACCAGCGCCTCCCGCAGCCCTCTCTGGGAGAAGGCACTTCCTCACTCCTTCAGCTTCTGGGGACATCCTGGAATCTGCCTTTGTCCTTCCCCCGCCCGCCACCAAATGCCGTCGGTCTGTGGTCCGTACATCACTCGGGTCCCTCCACCTTCATGGTCCACAGCCACTAAGCTGTCAAGCCCCGCACCGTCTTCACCACCTGGGCAGGTGTAGCCACCCCCACCCCCGCCGCACCACACACGCACTTTTGCCTTCTTCAAATCCAGTCTCAACAGCCGCCGCCACACTTGACTGTGCTGGTGGCCACGCCCTTGGTCATTACTAATAACTGTGACTTTTCCCTAGCGTCAATTCCAAACTCAGTCCTTCTAGGGCTCTGCTATAGTTTGGATATTTGTTCCCTCCAGAGCTCATGTTGACATTGCATCCCCAATGTTGGAGGCGGGGCGTGGTGGGAGGGGTTTGGGTCCAGGCAAGATCTCTCCCCATGGCTCGGTACTACTCAAGAACTGCTTTTCGAAAAGAGCCACATGGAGCACCCCCTGCTCCTTCTCACCTGCTCCCTCTCTCGACATGTGACATGCCCGTTCCCCTTCGCCTTCCGCCATGAGTGGAAGCTTCCCGAAGCCCTCGCCAGGAGCAGAGCTTGTACCCCGCTTGTCACACAGCCTGCAGAGCCGTGAACCAAATAAACCTCTTGTCTTTATAAATTACTCAGGCTCCAGTATTCTTTCATAGCGACGCAAAACCGGACTAAGACAGAGTCCGACTCCAAGTGTCGGTCCCAGCAGGAGCCACAGCCCACTGACCCCACCACCTGTTCTCTGTCTGCTCCTCCCGCCCCACGCCCTTCTCCCTGTCCCAGCTCGCATTCCGTGGTCCTAATCCCTCCTTTGCAGACACCCTCAGTGCCCCGCCCGCTCCTGTTCTTGCGTCTCCAGGCAAATGCCAAGCCCGGGTGCCCCCACTGCTCTCCTGCTCTTGCTGTCACCTGTGGAGCCAGGCAGCCTGTGGACGAGTGTCATTTGAAATTCATGACCTTCAGGGTCAGGGTTACCCCACCGTGCTCAGCGATCCAACTATATTTCTCTAGTCCATTGCTGTTTGTTTACTGTCTGTTTGCTTTATGCAGATGTGTGCTCTGGCCCCAGCTCTGTCACCAACCGCACGTAAGCCACTGTCCCTTTCTGGGCCTCAGTTTCCCCACCTGTAGAACAGCGGTACGGTGAAGAAGACCAGTGCTGCTTCTTAATCAGGATGTCCTGGACATCTGCTTCAAATGCAGTTCCTAGGCCCCACCCCCCAGAGAGTCAAGTCCAGTAGGTGTGGGGCTGGGAATTTGCATTTTAATGGTTTGGGACATTTGAGCATTCAGTTATGCCTTCTTGCCAACCACAGTTCCATAAACACACGCGCACATCCCAACTCCAACAACACCTGCACCAAGTCATCCGCCCGGGCTCTGCGGATCCAGGTCCATGAGCGCCACCAACACCCTGAGAGATCCCTGGCCGGCGGTGCCCTCTCTGTGATCGGTCTCTCTGCCTGTGCAATGAGGTGGCTGGCCTTGATGACATGTGTGTCCACAGACATCTGTGCACACACAGACACATCTGCAGACATGCACACAACCCCATGCACACGAACACGGATGCAAAGTCACACGGGTGGACACGAGACACGCACACACTCAGAGAGGGATGCAGATACACAAGCAACTACACAGACGCACCGAGAGACACGTAGACACAGACGGACCTGGAGACACTCACGCCAGAACACGGACAAGGGACAAAGATCATACTCATCCCTAAGAGAAGCAGATACACACACTCACACACACGCACACGGACACTCGCTCCTCACTTTCCTGGCTCAGCTCCACATGGAGAAGCTCTTGGAAAAGAAAAACAATGTGGCGCCTGTGGGGGAGGGGGGGAGGGAGAGGAGGAGGAGGAGGAGGAGGAGGAGGAGGCAGCAGGGCGGCAGGAAGCCCCAGTGCCAGGCGGCAGCCCCACCAGAGCTGTGCCAGGAAGGGGGTCTGGCCGGTCTGCTGGGCCCTTCCTGCAGCCCCTGAACCAGGAGCAGGGCAGGGCAGGGAGGGGACCACCGCCACATCCTCTCTGCCCCTGGGAGCTGCCAGGCCTGGCACGGAGCTTGGCTGGGACAGGGCCGCTGGCTCCTTCCAGGAATCCCGGCCTGTTCCGCAGAGGCAGGGCAGGCGCCATCCAGGCCCCTAATGGCTTCCAGGCACCTTGGCTAAAGGCAGGGTGGGGGCTCCAGACTCAGTTCCTGTTCCCCTCCCCGGCCACCGGTCGGGTCCTTCCTGGGGGCTGGCGTCCCCCGAGCGGGTGTGCACATACATGCGTGTGGAGGGCTGAGGGTGGAGGGCCTCAGGTTGGCAGTGGGGAGAAGCCCACCCTCCGCACACCCCCCCTAGACCCCACAGCAGCCAGACCCTGCGGAGCAGCGCCTCTCCGCACCCCACCCCGCTAACAACTCAGCCTTGGGGACAGGCACGCACACGTGGCCCTGGTAACGAGCACACTCACCGATAGACAGAGGCGACACAGAGGCACAGCTCACGGATGCGGACACAGGCTCCAGCCACCCTCCTGCCTGCCCCTTCCCCACTGGGCTCAGGGCCTTCTTCCCACAGGGTGGCCTCTGAGTCCCCCAGCGTGTCACTGCCCCCCCAAGGAGCAGGTCAGGGTAGGACCAGCCACCACAGGCCCCACGGAGCCCTCCCCACCCCGCCTTCCCCCCTCCTGCCTCCCAACAGCCGGACGGGTCTATTCTTGCTTGAAGCCTCTGGGTTTCTGTTCACTTCCCTCATTCTCCCTCCCAGACTCCAAAGTCCCCACCCATCTTTGAGCTCAGATGCCACCACCTCCAGGAAACGCCTTGATTGCCCCAGCCCCACCCCACCTGGGGAGCACAGCCCGGCAACCTCCCTCTGGCCGGCTCCCTCTCTTCTTGCAGCACAGGCTCTGCCCGACCCAGATGGGACACTGTGCCACCCAGAGCTTCTAGGACAGGCTGGCTGGCAGGGCGGAGAGAAGGCCGAACTGTGACCCTGCATCCCCTCAGCTGGGCATCGGAGCTGAGCGGAACCCAGAGCTCCTGAACCCCAGCCCCACAGCTATGCTCGCTGGTGGCTCGCTCCAGGACAGAAACAAGAATGTTTTGATCTCTTACCAACGGGCTAGGCCCTCATCAGTCCTGCCCACACAAAGCGGCCAGTGGTTCCGGTTGCTTGTGGACTTGTCTGGAATGTCTCTCTCTCCTTTCTTCATTACCAAACTCCTACACATCCTTCAAAACCCACCTCCAGTGTTCCCTCCCTAACCTCTGTGCAGAGTATGTTAGTTCTCCTAAAGCACTAGGCACCCCCCTGTTCTACAGCAATGGCCACACTGTGAAGTCCATGATCAGTGGACTATCCGAGCCCATCTTGGACTCGGTGGCTATCAGCACAGGGCCCAGCATACAGCAGATGCACAATGGCAGATGGACAGATGCTACTGTCAGGACTACTCTTGTGACCAGGGAGAGTCTGTGGAGGTTGAGCCATGCTAAGGATCGGGCGTCAGTCTGTGGCCAGGCTCCGAGACAGGCAGATATCTGTCTGTGGACAGGGTCAAAATCAGAGGTCACCCTGTGGCCAGGTCAGGGGTCCTGCTTCTTGCCTGAGGAAGCCTAAATGACCCACAGGGGGACAAGCCTGCGTTCTGTCCTTAGCATGTCTGCACGGGTCTCCTCATAGCCAGTGAGAGGAACGAGAAATGCTCAATGACGTCTGGATGGGGCGGGGGAAGGGATGGGGGGCCCAGTGGCCCAACTCTACCCCCCAGCTCAGAAACCTGTATGTCCTTCCAGAACCTTTCAGGTGGGGCTCTGGGTTGCGCCCATGGCCACAGGCCTGGCTGCGGGCAGGGAGCAGAGCCCAGTGGGAAACCACAGAGGACAGCCTGATTGGATAAGTGCAGGGCCCAAGGCTGGTCAGCCCACAGACTGCGGGCACCTGTCCCACTGACCTGCTGCCTGGGCTCCAGCCGCCGGACCTCCAGGAGAGGGCTGGGGAGGGAGGGACCATGGGTAGGCCTCCAGGCTGGACCTCAGACCAGAGGTAGGCACCCCTGCCTGTTCCCAGGAACCCCCATCTCAGACTGAGGAGCCACAAAGATACCCTAGAGCACTAATTTCAGCTTCTTTCTTTACAGATGGGCCAACGGAGGCCCAGAGGGACCGTGCGAGTCCCATCCGCTCAGCGGAGCAGCAGCAAAGCCAGGGGGGGAGCCGGAGCGCTGGGATCGGGTGCCTCCCCTCCTGGGGCTTGCCTACCGGAGGGGCCCCTACAAGATGGGGTCCTCAGGCACCAGGCCAAGTGCACAAGCGCAGCTGCGATGGGAGGGGGTGGCAGACCGGGGCCCACCCCAGCCCCAGCCCTCTCAGCAACTCCTTGAACTGTTCGCCCAAGTACAGCAGAGACCCCACCAGTGCCAGCTCTGCCACTGCTCTGCTGTGTGACATCTGCAAGCCTTAGCCGTCTCTGGGCCTCAGTTTCCCTACCTGAACGCTCTGTCCAACAGGTGGGCAGGCCCTGTGCCAACCTAAACCACCCCAACCCCCACAACAGCCCTATGAGAGCGGGGTGGGAAGGTGGATAAAACTCTCACTCAAAGCACAGAAACTAAAGCCCGGGCCCTGAGCCACTTTAGCCCTCACTCGGGCGCCCCCTCCCAGGCCACCCGGCCCTGCCAGCCGCCCGGCTCCCCCTAGCGGCGGGCGAAGCCCCCACCTCCAAAACCGGCCCGCGACGCGCGGCCCCCATTGGTAGCCGCCGCGGGCCTGGGCGGTGCGCTGTGCTCCGATTGGCCAGCGCCGCCGTCCATCCCGCACTCGCCATGGTGACCACGTTGGGTCCCCCGGGAAAGTTCCAAATTCCGCCCCCGCCCGCCGCCCCCTCCCGCCCGCCGCATTCCGAGGGCGTTTCCCCTCCCCCATCTCCCCAGCCCCTCCTCCCCCCAGGCCCGCGCCCGCGGTGGGGGAGTCGGGGAGGGGGCCGGAAAGTTCCGCTCGGAGTTTCGGGGCGGCTGCGGGCGCCCTACGGCTCCCGCTCCTGCAGCACGCCCGACTTAACCCCTTGCTCCCCGCGGAAGCTGCGGCCTGGAGCGAGCCCCCGGCGCGGCGCTCTCTGCCCCCGGCCGCCCCGCTCACCTCGGCAGGCCCGGCTCCGGCCGTCCGCCCCGCGGCTGGCGCGAGCGGCCCGGCGCTGGTCGGCCCGCGGCCGAGGGAGGGCCTCGGAGTCTCCTCCTCCGCAGGGGAAGGCGGCGGCGGGCGGCGCGAGCGCGCGGGCGGCCCGCGGTGGCCCGCCGGCGCGGTGCGGTGCGGACGCCCGCCCGCCTCGGGGCGAGGGCGCAGGCCGGACGGCGGGCTCTGCCGGAGAGCGGGCCGGGCCCAGACGGAGGCCCCACCCCCGTGGCGGGGACGAGGGTGGGGGACGGAAGGCAGGGTCGAGGGCCCCGCGGGGCTCGGCTTTCCCGCCTCGGGTTTCCGAGCGCCGCGCGGCCGAGTGCGCTCCGCGGGCGGGCCCGCACGTGGCGCGCCTCCCGGGGCGGCACTTTTGTACCTGCGCGCTCCCTAGTGCCGGCGCTGCCGCCGAGTCCGTGCCCGCACCGGCCTCAGTTTCCCCGTTTGTCCAACAAAAGGGTTGCCAAAAGCGACTTGGCGCCTGTTCAGAGGGGGGGACCGGGTCCCGCCCGCGGAGATGCCTCCCGGTCCGCACCCCCAGCCCCGCGGCCAGTTGCGGTAACGCCCCTCGTGCGCGCCCGGCCCTTCAGGGGCTTCCTCTCTCTGGGGTGGGGTTCTGCGGTCTTCGTGGAGAAGGGGGAACGGGCGTCGGAGGACCTCTCCCCGCCACATCCTGTGCCCTGCAAGGCCGCCTGAAGTGAACCTACTTTAAAAGAGGACCAGAAATTCACAAAAATGGAGGGAGCCCAGATGGATTGCATGTTACAGAGAAAAGGAAACTAAAAACTAGAAAGATAAATTAGCTTGATCCCATGATTAACACTATTTAGATTATGATTGCAACCATGCACGCCTTAGAATGAAGACTGGATCAAATGTTAGTATTTGAAGACTTTTCTTTCTCCCGACCAAGTTGAGTATGCAGCATCCTTTCCTTCTGAATCGGTTTTTTGCAGATATTTTGCAGACCCGAGGGTCACTCAGAATCCTTTGATAGTCCGCCGATTCTTTTGGGGAAATCTCGAGAAAGTCTCGCTCGCTTCCCTAGCAGATGTTCTCTTTGTCTGTGGTTAGCGGCGGCTCCATTTCTCCTGCGTTGGCTTCCAGCAACTTCGCGAAATCCCACACTTTTTTTGCAAGATTTGCAGTTTCACTTGTGGATTGATTTGCTCTGTGTGGCTGAACGTTGACGGCTAGAGACAGATTTTGGAGGTGATGTGTGGGGTTAAGTACTCAGGACCAAGACATCCCCATTTTATTTATTTATTTATTTTATTTATTTTTTTAACAAAGTATTTCAGATACCATACATCCCCATTTTAAAACTGAGGAAATGAAGGCTCAGGGTGCACAGCCAGTGAGTGAGTGACAGCCTTCGACCAGGAGCCCAGAGCTCTTGCCTGGGGATTTTGGAGCTGAGGACAGGGCTGGAGAAGGTGGCAGAGGTTGAACTGATGGCGTACCTAAACTCCAGCTATGACCTCATCACAGTTGGACCCTCTGCCCTAAAGGAGGAAGTGATAAATGCTTTCCTGGGGTGTTTCTTGCAGAGAAGGGGAGCCCCCTGCTCACTGGCCATAGACTTGGCAGCTTGCATGAGTTATCTCAGCTTTACACTCACACTGTGGGCTAAATGTTTTGTTTTGGCTTTTTTTTTTTTTTTTGAGACAGGGTCTTACTCTGTTGCCCAGGCTGGAGTGCAGTGGTCTGATCATAGCTCACTGCGGCCTTCAACTCCTGGGCGCCTGCGATCCTCCCATCTCAGCCTCCCAGAGTGCTGGGATTATAGGCATGTGCCACCACACCCTCCCTGGGCTGAATGTTTTTACCACCAAAGTGAGGAAAGTGAAGGTCAGAAATCAAGTGACTGGCCCAGGGTCATGCTGGGAGGTCTCAGACCCCAGATCTGACTCTCAATTATACCACCGTCACCTCTGTTCCTAAAACTACACCTCCAGGCACCTCTGAGTGCCATGCTGATCTGGCGTCAGGCTCCCCAGTGGCCCTGGCAGGGCCTCTCTCCCCCAAACCCCAGGACAGCGGGGTTTTAACTGAGGTTGTGTCAGTATTTCCCACACTTGAGCAGTTCTCTCTTCTGTACCACTGCCACCACTTTTTGCCACCAGCCCATACCCCTTATTACTTAGCAAATTGATAGAACCAGACGGTAGAGCAGTGGCTGCCAGGGGCTGGGGGAGGCGGGAAGGGGGAGTTTTGTTTAATCAGTACAGAGTTTCACTTTGGGAAGATGGAAAAGGTTTTGGAGATGGACGCTGGTGATACTAGCACAATGACGTGAATGTACCTAATGCCACTGAACTGTACACTTAAAAATGGTTAAAACGGTAAATTTACTATATATATTTCATAGCAATAAAGAAATTAGAAAATTATCTTCTTTTTGATATCTAATAAAAGACTAATGATGGAAAAAAGGTGGGGGGGACGACATAAGTCAGTGTTAGGCAGGGGCTAAAACAGTTTAGCCCTAAACCGAAGCTTCCGCTGGACAGAGCCAAGGTTGAGAAAGACTCCAAAAGTGACTTCGTCATGGTGTGACTCAGTTTATCTAAAGTCCTGTTGGGATCCCATGTACAGTCCTCTTGTAGCTCACCAGGGTGAGCAGCCCCCACGAGGGAAGACACCCCACCCCGGCTGGTGTCCATCCTCCTCCCTGCCTGGGGTCTGGATTGCATGGGGTTAGACCCTGCAGGCACTAGGGAGCCACTGCTGGCTTTGAGCAGGGGAGGGTCTTGGCAGTGGGTTCCAGGCTCTGGGGTACAGAGCTGGATAACTGGCGTCCCCAACTGAGGCAGGGCACCGTGAGGCTGGCACAGACCCCGGCTGGGAACTAGAGGGGCTGTGAGTGGGCAGGGTCTCCTGTGTCCTGAGACCAGCCACTTGGGCTCAAATACAGCGTGCGGAAGGAGGTAGCTGGCCATGCAGGATTAGAGGTGGCTAGGAGACCTCAGAAAGGAAGGGGCTGGAGGTCAAGGCCTGGGTTATGGCCAAAGAAAACACAAGTGCAAAGAAGCGCAAGTCGCCCATGGGCGTGCGGCCGGCCGAGGAGTCAGGACGCAGGTGCACCGGTGTCTGCAAAGCCCTCGCATGCAGTTGGGGTGGGGGCCGGCTGCCCTCCAAGGAGCAGTTGCCCCCGCTTCCTGCAGAGGCCACCTGTGGCGAGGACAGAGAGGCAGGAGCCGTGTTAGAGCCTGTCTGGCTTCTCCCTTTTACTGCGTCCCATGTTATCCCCGGGGGTGGCAGCGCACATTCTTGAGTCCCCATTTACACAGTCACCCTCCCCCTTTCCCTTAGGGGTCTGTCAGGGTGTGTGTGGCCGGCACAGGGCAGCCTGACCCAGACCCCTGGCTCAAGGAGAAGGGGCCGCTTTCCAGCCGCACTGTTCTGGCCATGTTTTCTGGACTCGCCCGCCAGGGAGGCCCCTCCCCAGGGGGCCCTGCCCCTGGGTAGCTTGGGGCGAGGCCCTGGTCCTCTGTGGCCGTTAGGCTCCTCATCTGTGAAACATGACAGCTTTATAGAGACAGACTTCCAGTGACTTTGCCGGCCTTACCTTTTATAAGTGCTCTAGGAGGTGGTACTGTCACTAGCTCCATTTTACAAAGGGGAAATAGGTTCAGAGAGGGCAAGTTACTTGCCCCAAGTCACCCAGCCATCAAGTGGCTTGGGACTTGAACCCAGGAAGTCGGGCCCAGCCCTTGCCTAAGGTCCTTGCCCTCCTCAATTCCATTGATTGTCAGGTCATGTGGGGACCATTCTCCCTTTTTTTACAGATGGGGAAACTGAGGCCCAGAGAGGTGCATATCTTGCCCATGGGTGCAGAGCTGAGGTGGGTCTTGAACCCTACACGGTGCCACGGTGCCCAGTCCTCGAGCACCTCCGCAGAGGTGAAGTTGCCCCCGGAAGGGCTGCAGGCCCTGGGGGGGGGGTGAGATCAAGGCATGGCCTTCAGCTCAGGAAACAAAGAGGCTGCGGTGAACAAAGCGAAGTGAGAGTGCGGTGTGTGGGCTCGGGGTGAAGGGAGCAGAGAGAAGTGAAGTGGCGTGTGGGTGAGGGGTGAAGGGAGAGGCCCTCTGCGACCCGCTGCCTCCCGACTTCCCCTTCTTCCCGCAGAAGCAGCAGGACTTCGGCTGAGACAGCAGCAAGACGGCAGTGGCCCGTTTGCAGGTCAGCCCCCCACCCCAGCCTCTCCTCCCTCCCGCCGCCCCTCAGCTCTCGTTCTTATCCACAGCCCCCCCAGGGGGCACTGGGCATGCCCCTGCTCAAACAGGCACAGGCCTGGGGACAGCCCGGGAGCAGCAAGCTGGGAACCTACCCTCACTCCCTTTCTGGGTGGCAACCCCAGATCTGGGGGGATGTAGCAATCTGTGTTTTTGGAAGAAGAGGCAATTTAAACGAAGGAGTGGTTAGGCATTGGGTCCAAATCTTAGCTCCACTGTGTGGCCTGGAGCAAGTTACTGGACCTTTCTTTTTTTGGACCTCAGTTTCCTCATCTGTAAAATGGGCCTAGTCCAGTACTCTGCAGTTTGGGTGACGGTCAGATACTCAGTATGGGGCCTGGCACAGGGTTCGTGGTTGGCAAAGTGGAACAGGTGCATTTGTACTGAGAGTGACCTGGACTGGAGCCTGGGGACAGCGTGTCTCAGGGAAATGGCCCTGGTTCTGGCTTGGTCACAGACTCCCTGTTGGGCTTTGGCGTGGCCTCCCATTCTCCACCTGTGAGATGGGGCTAATGCTAGCATCTCTTAGGGCTCATTTGCAGGGGTCACAGATTCATTCCTCCCCCAGGCCAGGGGGATCCAGGGGTTGGGGGCTCCAGGCTGTGGCTGGCAGGGGCGGCTGGCTGGTGGGGGCAGGCGGGGCAGAAGCATGGCTGGCTCAGCAGGCCCTGGTGCTGCCGGGGAGAGGGGGCTTTGGGGGCACGATCAGCTCCAGTCAGGAAGGCCAGGGTTCCCAAGCCTCCGCCCAGATGTATTCTTGGCTGAGGACATTGGTCAGAGCCCCGGACCTGGGTCGGGGCCTGATGCCCAGGAGTGCGGGTCGTGGAAATGGCTGTTTGAGTCTTTCCCTGGGCAATAAGTCTCCTTGGCCTCATTTTACAGATGAGAAAACCTCAGGCACAGAGAGGTCAAGTTCCTTGCCCAATGTCATACAGTCCAGGCACCAAATGCTGGACCTGGTTATCAAATTCCCACCATCCGAAGGCTCTGTCCTGTGCTCCAAGTGTCTCTTCCTCTCTCTGTTGGCCTAAATAGCGTCTTCCTTGCCCACACAGCCACTCAGCTACCCAGCCGTCTTTGTTTGGGAGGCTGCATTGTACAGGGGGTGAGCACTGGACTTGGAGTCTGGAGCCCTGGGTTTGAGCCCCAGCCTGATCACTGACCTGCTGTAGACCCCCAAGTAAACTCCTCTTGTGTGGTCCTCAGTTTCCCCACGGTCAACTGGAACCATCTTGGTAGTCAGGTAAGGGACTTCTGTTTCCCCGGGGCCCCCCATTGTGAATTTCAGGGTGGGGAGCGACTCGCCGAGGGTGTGGCGTGATGGAGCATGGTGACTTCTCCGAAGGGTGGGGGCCGGCAGGATGCAAGGAGAAGTGAAGATCGTGGTTTGCTGCTGGGAAAGAGGGTGAAACCACAGTTTCTATCTGAGGTGCTGGGGGGGGTGTCACTTCTGCTTTGGCCTCGATTTCCCCAGTTTTGAGGGGATAGAGGTCGAGTTCTTCTTTGCTTGGTGTCTGCCTGCCAGCAGCATATGGCTAAGGGCCCGAGAACCCGGCCTTAGGGTCCAGACCCCGGAAATTAAATCCAGCTGTCTGTCTGGGCCTCAGTTTCCCCGTCAGTACAGTGAAGGAGTAGCCGGAGGTCCTGTCTACACTATCAGGTCCTCCACCATGGGGAATATTTCAAATTGTTTCGTTAGGCAGCTCCCTTTGTCTTCTTAAACCTTTCCCCCAGTTTTTTCTCTGAGGTTCTGAGAGGGTAAGTGAATCACCCAAAGTAACACAGCCAAACAAATAACCAAATAGCCAGATAAATATGAATCCGGCACTCTGTCACTCCAGAGTCTCTGTTTCTTTATTAAAATAAACATATGTATATATATTAAGAAATGGTGTTCAGAATAATGAGTGAACACGTGGGGAAAAAAATACAATTGGATCTGTATCTCACACTGTGCTCCAGGGTCAGTGCTCGTGGACTGGAGATTTCAATGTGAAAAATGAGATCATAAAAGTACGAGAAGGTTACATGTCATGAGTAGTAAATTTTTTTTAAAAAGTACTAGAAGAAACATAGGAGAGGCCGGGCGCTGTGGCTCACGCCTGTAATCCTAGCTCTTGGGAGGCCGAGGCGGGCGGATTGCTCAAGGTCAGGAGTTCAAAACCAGCCTGAGCAAGAGCGAGACCCCGTCTCTACTATAAATAGAAAGAAATTAATTGGCCAACTGATATATATATATAAAATTAGCCGGGCATGGTGGCGCATGCCTGTAGTCCCAGCTACTCGGGAGGCTGAGGCAGAAGGATCACTCGAGCCCAGGAGTTTGAGGTTGCTGTGAGCTAGGCTGACGCCATGGCACTCACTCTAGCCTGGGCAACAAAGCGAGACTCTGTCTCAAAAAAAAAAAAAAAAAAAAAGAAACATAGGAGAATTTTTTCCTAACATTGGTGTAAGGAAGGCTTTTCTATCAAGGATACAAAAATCCAGAAGCCAAAAGATAAAATACTGATACATTTTATTACATAAAATTGTTTAAAAAGATACATCTACATTGCCAAAAAAAAAAAGAAAGAAAGAAAAAGGCCATATGTGATGTTAAAAGGCAAATGACAAACTAGGGAAATTATTTGCAACTCCTGTAATAGACAAAGAGCTGATTTCCCTATTATGTAAAAAGTTTCTAGAAATTGACAAGGAAAAGTCTAACCTAATATAAAAATGGGCAAATGATGAACGTTCACACGTGAGAAATAATGTCAGGACAGCTGTGTTGTTTGTGAGAACAAATGACAACACAGATGGCTATTACCAGGGGACTGGTTATCCCTACAACGTTAGAATATGCAGTTGAAAAAGTGGAAGCTCTCCAAGATGTATTTTCAAGTGAAAAAGCAAAGCGTAGAACAGTGTATAGAGAGTGCTACTTTTTGCATAAACTGGGGGAAAGCTTATTTGCTTATATTTGCATGCAGAAACTCTGGAACCTTCTTAGCACAAAGTGTTGGTTTCCTGGGCATGTCTGATTGGGAACTGAGTGGTTGAATGGCACAGTCTGTACCCTTTTGTATTTATTTATTGCTTATATTTGAAAGATGCGAATTTCTGAACTATCCAAGGAATAAATAAAAGTTGAGAAATGTATAGTGATAACATACAACTAACTGCCTATACCCACAAGTACGTCTTCCAGATTTTGCATAAACAAAACATGATTTTTTTGCGAGGATGGGATTACACATTGTTTTCCAACATGCTTTTTTTTTTTTTTCATATGCAAATGTTACCTTTTTTTTTTTCCATCTTGATAAATAGTCATTGGGAGCATTTAAAAAAAATCCTAGGCATTAGAAAAATTTGTTTTTCTTTTGTGAAGGTAATACACGTTTGTTGTAGAAAATGTAAACAACGTAGAAAATATAAAGAAAGAAGCAAAGAAAAATTCTCCCCTCAAAAAAAAATTATTAACATTTTGGTGACCTTTCTTCTAGATATGCTGATGTGCTCAAATACGCATACAAACATAATTTTCCATCAATGGGATTACATTATATGTGTTAATTTCAACCAGCTCTTTCTACTCAATGACATGCTGCGTTTCTCTTTTGCATGGCTACATACACATAATTTTTAATAGTGAAATGGCAATCCATTGTACCGCATTTATTTTTTTATTTTTTTTTTTTGTACCGCATTTTTGAACTTTGAATTTGGAAAATCTTTACAGGAGGTTGCAGAAAATAGTTGAGAAACATTCCCTGTCCCCTTCACTCTATGTTCTCCAATAATAGCATCTTGTACACCTGCAGTGTGATATCAAAACCAGGAAATTGGCTTGGGTGCAGTTCACAGACCTTGTTCAGAGTTGCCCTGTTTTATAGGCACTCATTTATGTGTGCTGGTTGTACGGCGAGTGTGTTTTAACTCTGTAAGAAATGGTCAAACTGTTTTTTTCTGTGTAATTTTATCATATGTGCAGATTCCTGTTCCATCACCGCAAGGAGCCCTGTACTAGCCCTTTAAGGACACACGCCACACTCCCCAAACCTTTGCAACCACTAATCTGTTCTCCACCTCTATAATTTTTGTCATTTCAAGAACGTTATAGAAATTGAATCATACAGCATGCAACATTTTGAGATTGGCTTTCCCCCCACTCCCTCAGTATAATTCCCTTAAGATCCACCCAAGTTGTGTGTATCATTGTTTTTTAGGAAATTTATTTTTGTATTGCTGAGTTACTTTCATAGTATGGATGTATCACAGTTTCGCCATTCACCCACTGAAGGGGCGATGAGGTCGTTCCCAGTTAGAGGCCATTATGAATAAAGCTGCTGTGAATGTTTGTGTACGGGTTTTTGTGCGACAGTGAGGTTTTATTTCTCTGGGATAAAGGTCCACGAGTGTGATTATTGGCTCATATGGTAGGTACCTGTTTAGTTTTGTAAGAAATTGCCAAACTGTTTTCCAGCGTGGCATTGAACTGTAATTTATGTGACTGTTCCTCTGTTGGTAGACATTTATGTAGATTTCAATGTTTCTTTTTTTTTTTTTTTGCCACGTACAAAAATATTTAGTATATACAGTTTTAATAAACGAGAGAGAGAGTGGAGCGCGGCGGGGGGGCCTGGTGGCTCATGCCTATAATCCAGGATCCTAGCACTCAATGGAGCGCCAGCACGGCGGATTGCCTGAGGTCCGGAAGTTTGAAACCAGCCCTGAGCTGACGAGCTGACGACCGCCTGCCCTAAGCTATCCATACTATGAGAAGAAATTTAATGGACCAACTAAAAGTATATATACAAAAAATTAGCCGAGGCGGGGCGCAGTGGCCTCACGCTGTTCTAGGCACTCTGGGCGAGGTGGCGACTGCTCAAGGTCTGGCGAGTTCGCAACCAGCTGGAGCAACGAGCAACGTGCCCTGTCTCTACTATAGAATAAAAAGAAATTAATTGGTCAACTAATAATCAAGGAAAAATAATTACCGAGCCATAGTGCGCATCGCTTTGTAGTCGCCACTACTCGGGAGGTCTGAGGCACGAGGATTGCGTTGAGCCAGAGCTTTGAAGGTTCGTGGTGAGCATAGGCTGACGCCACGGGCACTCTCACTCTAGCCAGGGCTAACAAAGATGAGATGGCTCCTGTCTCAAAAAAAAAGAAAAAAAAGGAA